GGACCGTTTCTTTCTAAAACTAGCCGCCGAAATTGTTGCAACCCCTATTACTAGCCTGTTCAACCTCTCTTTCGTAACGTCTGAGATCCCCAGAGATTGGAAAGCTGCCGCGCATCCCCCTCTTCAAAGGGGGTGACACTCTAGATCCAAACTGTTACAGACCTATATCCATCCTGCCCTGTCTTTCAAAAGTATTTGAAAGCCAAGTTAACAAACAGATCACCGTCCATTTCGAATCCCACCGTACCTTCTCCGCTATGCAATCCGGTTTCCGAGCTGGTCATGGGTGCACTTCAGCCACGCTCAAGGTCCTAAACGATATTATAACCGCGATCAATAATAGACAGTACTGTGCAGCCGTCTTCATCGACCTGGCCAAGGCTTTTGACTCTGTCAACCACCGCATTCTTATTGGCAGACTAAATAGCCTTGGTTTCTCAAATGACTGCCTCGCCTGGTTCACCAACTACTTCTCAGATAGAGTTCAATGTGTCAAATCGGAGGGCCTGTTGTCTGGACCTATGGCAGTCTCTATGGGGGTGCCACAGGGTTCAATTCTTGGGCCGACTCTTTTCTCCGTGTATATCAATGATGTCGCTCTTGCTGCTGGTGACTCTCAGATCCACCTCTACGCAGACGACACCATTTTGTATACATCTGGCCCTTCATTGGACACTGTGTTAACAAACCTCCAAACGAGCTTCAATGCCATACAACACTCCTTCAGTAGCCTCCAACTGCTCTTAAACACTAGTAAAACTAAATGCATGCTCTTCAATCGAACGCTGCAGGCACCCGCCCACCCGACTAGAATCACTACTCTTGACGGGTCTGACCTAGAGTATGTGGACAACCACAAATACCTAGGTGTCTGGTTAGACTGTAAACTCTACTTCCAGACTCACATTAAGAATCTCCAATCCAAAGTCAAATCTAGAATCAGCTTCCTATTTCGCAACAAAGCCTCCTTCACTCATGCTGCCAAACATGCCCTCGTAAAACTGACTATCCTACCGATCCTTGACTTTGGCGATGTCATTTACAAAATAGCCTCCAACACTCTACTCAGCAAATTGGATGTAGTCTATCACAGTGCCATCCATTTTGTCTCCAAAGCCCCATACACTACCCACCACTGTGACCTGTACGCTCTTGTTGGCTGGTCCTCACTACATGTTCGTCGTCAAACCCACTGGCTCTAGGCCATCTATAAATCACTGCTAGGCAAATCCCCGCCTTATCTTGGTGTGGTCCTCTGTAGCTCAATTGGTAGAGCATGGCGCTTGTAACGCCAGGGTAGTGGGTTCGATCCCCGGGACCACCCATACGTAAACATTTATGCACACATGACTAAGTCGCTTTGGATAAAAGCGTCTGCTAAATGGCATATTATTTATTATTATTATTATCTTAGCTCATTGGTCACCATAGCAACACCCACCCGTAGTCTGCGCTCCAGCAGGTATATCTCACTGGTCATCCCCAAAGCCAACACCTCCTTTGGCCGCCATTCCTTCCAGTTCTCTGCTGCCAATGACTGGAACGAATTGCAAAAATCTCTGAAGCTGGAGACTCTTATCTCCCTCACTAACTTTAAGCATCAGTTGTCAGAGCACCTTACCGATCACTGCACCTGTACACAGCCCATCTGAAATTAGCCCACCCAACTACCTCATCCCTATATTGTTATTTATTTTGCTCATTTGCACCCCAGTATCTCTATTTGCACATAATCTCTTGCACATCTATTATTCCAGTGTTAATACTAATTGTAATTATTTTGCACTATAGCCTATTTATTGCTTTACCTCCATAACTTGCTACATTTGCACATACTGTATATCTATTTTCTGTTGTATTTTTTTACTTTGTTTTTTTTTACCCCATATGTAACCCTGTGTTGTTGTTTTTATCGCACTGCTTTGCTTTATCTTGGCCAGGTCGCAGTTGTAAATGAGAACTTGTTCCCAACTGGCTTACCTGGTTAAATAAAGGTGAAATAAAAATAACAAAATAAAAAAGTTAGACACATTACAGGAGAAAAACAGAAAGCACTGTTTATCACAACCGCATTTAGGGGCTATCGGAGGTTACACATGTACCAATGGTTCGATTAACTTAGCAACGCATTTATATTTTATGCAGAGCTTCTTTTGCCTCCCACAATGTAAACTTTGCAGCATAAACTTTCACCCTACACTTTCCCTAGGTTGGGGATGCAGTTAGCTAGCTAACGTTAGCTAGCTTCCCCGTATTTTGGATATTGACGTGACATGCATTTACCTAGGAACCTGTACATAAAGCTATGTCAGAATCGTAAATATAGCTAAATGTCATGTCAGTATACTAGCTAATTGCGGTCGAAGCTAGCTACTTACTAGCTAATGTTAGCTAGCTGAATCCCAGAATGGGGAAAAGTGTAGCTGGCTATGCGGGAACATACACTGAACAAAAATATAAACGCAACATCATGAGCTGAAATAAAAGATTGCAGAAATGTTCCATATGCACACAATGCTTATTTCTCTCAAATATTCTGCAAGAATGTGTTTACATCCCTGTTGGTGAGCATTTCTCCTTTGCCCTGATAATACATCTGTTATGATGAGTTTCTCGGGTATCAAAGAATCAAGGATGCAAGGATATACTTAGACATTTTGTGGAGATTTCATACCAAGTATTTATTGAATCACGAGCTCGTGGGTTCATATAACAAATGGACATGGCTTTGCCGTTCGTCAGTTGAACAAAGACACTCTACCTTATATACCCTTTATTACCATCTTCCTGGCATACATCTGGTAAGTCTCCATGGGCACTCCCTATCTTTGATGCTCATCACTCTTTACCCCAAGTCACTATCCTAAACATCATTCATGCTATCCTAAACATCACTAATCTCCTTTGACATAATGGAATGTAGACTTCATGGCCCCAAACCACTCATCTTTTAACTCTTCCTCTGTCCTCACAATACTATGACATGACATCATTACAACATCCACCTGACAGGTGTGGCATATCAAGAAGCTGATTCAACAGCATGATCATTACACAGGTGCACTTTGTGCTGGGGACAATAAAAGGCCACTAAAAATGTGCACTTTTGTCACACATCACAATTCCACAGTTTTGAGGGCGCGTGCAATTAGCATGCTGACTGCAGGAATGGCCACCAGAGCTGTTGCCAGAGAATTGAATGTTCATTTCGCTACCATAAGACGCCTCCAACGTAGTTGAAGAGAATTTGGCAGTATGTCCAACCGGCCTCACAACCGCAGATCACGTGTATGGCGTCGAGTGGGCGAGCGTTCTGCTGATATCAACTTTGTGAACAGAGTGGCCCATGGTGGTGTTGGGGTTATGGTACTGGAAGGCATAAGCTATGGACAACGAACAAAATTGCATTTTATCGATGGCAATTTGAATGCACAAAGATACCGTGACAAGATGCTGAGGCCCATTGTCGTGCCATTCATCCGCCGCCATCACCTCCTGTTTCAGCATAATGCACGGCCCCACGTCTCAAAGATCTGTACACAATTCCTGGAAGCTGAAAACGTCCCAGTTCTTCCATGGCCTGCATACTCACCAGACATGTCACCAACTGAGCATGTTTGGGATGCTCTGGATCGACGTGTAGGACAGCGTGTTCCAGTTCCCTCCAATATCCAGCAACTTCTCACAGCCATTGAAGAGTGGGACAACATTCCACAAGCCACAATCATCAGCCTGATCAACTCTATGCAAAGGAGATGTGTTGCGCTGCATGAGGCAAATGGTGGTCACACCAGATTCTAACTGGTTTTCTGATCCACGCCCCTACAGGTATCTGTGACCAACAGATGAATATCTGTATTCCCAGTCATGTGAAATCCATAGATTAGGGCCCAATTAACTTATTTCAATTGACTGATTTCCTTATATGAACTGTAACTCAGTAAAATTATTTACATTTTTGCATTTATATTTTTGTTCAGTATAGTTTACAATGTCGGATGCAACGTCTGCCGACTTACAGAAAGCAATTCTGACATTACTTTATATGTAGCTAGCTAAAGGTACCCATGTAAATACAAATCAGGTCAGTAGCTAGCTAGCTATCCACTTTGCGGCCGAGGCTAGTAGCTAGCTAGCTAAGCTAACATTAGCTCGCTAGCAGCAGAGCGACAATATCATGTCCATCACATTGAAGCTAGATAGAAGAATAATAGAGACTTACTTCTTGAATGCTTGCTGCTGGCTGCCACTGCCGGATGCAAGATGTAGCTATGGGACAGACCATTTATGGAGGATGAAAGCTGCAAATCCACTGGCTAGCTACCTTGTCGAAGTCTGCTGTGCATATGTTCAGGTTCAGACTGAATTTCTACGGCACTTAAGTGAAATAAAATCAAAGCCAAATCAGACAAAGTGATTGTTCTGATGGAAGACAGTGCAAAGAAACAGTTGCTGCATTGCAGCCGGCTACTGCACAATCACTCTTGCATTTGGCCGTGCATAACTAGCTACCTCTCCTGTACATGTTAACAATGAGGAATACCAATTTGACCAGGCGGGACTGGCAGAAGTAGGAGGATATATGGTCATTGGTCTATTTTTACCATATCGCCTTGTGACGTTATGTGGCGGCTCAAAAGCTCAATTCCACCTGAAGAGGCTGAAATACGAGACGTAAAAAAATAAATAATTATAACAACTTTTACACAAAAAGGGCATTAACATCATTTTCTGAATTTCAGTGTTATTTCCCTCAGTGTGGAAATATCATAAAAAACAAAATTCATGTTTTAGACTGCACTGCCCCTTTAAAGTGATGGTAGACAATAAAATTGACTGTCAGCGGGAGAAGGCTTGGTAGGGAGGATGATGATTAGGCAGGCCCTTAGCCAAAATAGATAGATGTCACATTTCTGGCTTACTCGACTAATTATTGTAGAATTGTTGAGTGAGTTAACTGTGCACTACAATAGAGCCACTGAGAGCGTCCTCCATCTTACCGCCGCTCCCTTCAGGAACTTGCTACCGTCTGGCGGCGGTGCCTCGGTGGCCGGTTTCTTCTTCAGAAAGCTCTTGGCGTCACCCGGTTCGTCGTCGCTATCTGACGACACCCCTACAGACATCAAGGAAGATGGGTGATTTTGAAAAAAAAAACAGCAGGTAAAACAGTGGCTAGTCCATAGAATGAATGCATCAATGGCGCCCTGAGATGGATTGGGGGTAAGGCCCTGCAATAGAATAGCCTCCTGTCCAGTGGGTTTCCTTGTACATCAAGCTGCCTCTTTATACCGAAACAGGAAGTAAGCTCCTGCCCTATTGGCTGTTCTGTCTTGGACAAGGCTACTTTCTTTACTATGGGCTAGCTCCCAAATGACAAAAGCAGACTTTTGAGTCTTCCATTAATGGCATTTACTGTAGGCATAGATCGAGGTGTAATGAAAAGGCATGGAAAGAAACTCACCTGATTCAACCTCATCCTTCTCCTCCTCCTCATCCGCAGACGCCATTGGGTTCTGAAAATGAGAGAGAGAAAAGATTGCTATTATACCACAGAGCCATTAGTGGGAACTAAGCGTCTCACACTGGCTCGCAGGGTCTTGGGAAAGATTAATTAAGCCGAAAACACACGGGGGACATCTGTCAACGGAGTGAATTTAGGCGCGGGAGAGCTGCAAGCGTGTGTAGTGTAGTGTACACCAGAATAAGAGTAAATTATTCTAAACAGTTGTATTCTCTTTTGAAATCGGAGTTACCTAACTCTCCAAGTTTTCCAACCGTCATTTTGCCCCGTAAAATGACGGTTGTTATATTTCCCCTGTGTCAGAATTTGCTAAAAATAGTCCCATATCCAACACTTTTGGAATTTTCGATAAGCAAGCAGGACAGATACAGAATATAAATGTAGGTCCATTATAATCTTTACACAGTTTCAATTTGGTTGTAGTCATTTCAATGTCAATTAAGATCGCTTTTCTCAGAAAACAATTATAAAATGTTTTATTTTACTCAAACCCCCCTGCATATAAGCAGCGGTGTCAAACATACGGCCCGGAGCCCAGTCAATCTGGCCTGTGGCCCGTATGTTTGACACCCCTATGCCCATGATCGAAATCAACACAGGCAGGCTGCTGCATTGATTTCAAATAGATAGCCTATTTGTCAGATTAACTCAGGGCTCCAGACTGCGACCATTTAGTCACATTTTGCGACCCTTTGACATGGCGAGCTACATTTTAATTGGTCGCATTGGTGCGAACTGCACATTCTACATGGTCACCTCACTCAAAACTAGATTTTGAGATACTTTACTGTTTGAGTTGGTCAAACTGTAAAGTACATTATCCTCATGATTCCTGTAATGAAAGTCTCTGCCTGCCCTTGCACCTGTTTTGCTGGGGCCTGCTGCCGTGTCGAGCGAGCCACTCTTTCATGAAAAATATAAATAAAGTGTTTTGATTTAATTACATTTTTAAATCCAATTGTGGGGAAAACACAGCTATCCTGTCGTCACAGTTGAAGAGAGGTTCCCAGCTTTCTGAAGGTGTAATTTGTATTTCTCAAGAATGAACTATTTTATAACCAAGATATTCAATATGGCTTTGATATACGCACAACGTAAAATCCGCATTGGCCATTGCATGGGTCTCATTGGGCGACAGGCTTCAACTGCAACTTTTTTTGGACATTCAATTCACTGTTAGATTAATACATGGTTACTAGCAGTGGCTATTATATTTAGAGTTAACGATCTAGCTAATGTTTATTTTTGGTTTCCACATACTCAGGTAGTGACCTAAATAAATTAGCCTAGTATATTAGTGCACATAAAGATGCAGGCAAATTCATCTATTGAACCAAAAGAAATCTGAAAATTCTGGAGCCATAATTTAACAGTAAATACAACAAATAGCCTAATTGTGAACCCAAGATAGCAATCACTGGACAATACTCCATTTATTTTTTTATTTTACCTTTATTTAACTAGGCAAGTCAGTTAAGAACAAATTCTTATTTACAAATGACGGCCTACACCGGCCAAACCCGGACGACCCTGGGTCAATTTTGCGCCGCCCTATGGGACTCCCAATCACGGCCGGTTGTGATACAGCCTGGAATCGAACCAGGGGGTCTGTAGTGACGCCTCAAGCACTGAGATGCAGTGCCTTAGACCACTGTGCCACTGTTTTTAGAAATGTATGCAAATGTATTGAAAATGAAATGCAGAAATCAAATTTACTTAAGTATTCACACCTGAGTCAATACTTTGTAGAAGCACCTTTGGCAGTGATTACAGCTGTGAGTCTTTCTGGGTAAAGGCGTCAACATGCTTCAGTTTGGCTGTCGGCTAGCTGAAGTCAGCTAGCTGAACCGAATGAGTGTGCTCGAATGCGCCATAAGATGCTTGCTTGAAAAACTAATAAAAGGGGAAAGTGGCAATATTACCCTGGGACAGTAGAGGGCGATGAGCTGGTAATAGCCATCTACGGCCAAACAAGTGAAGAGATGAAGCGCGGGAGAATAAAATTGTGTACAGAGACACTTGATTGGCAAGAACATTTTATTGGTGCGAATTGGATGTACCTAGCAACACATAATAGGCGAGATATGGCGACAGATAAGATGCCCACTGCATGTTCACAATGGTGGATGTAGGGGCATACGGCCGAGAGAGCTATGGTGGAGTGTTTTAAGATAGTTATTTTGGGTCCAAAGACATGATGGAACGTCCCTTTAACCCCAAGTGCATAAAAAGCCTTGTGACGAAATTCACCTCAGACCAGCAGACGTGAAGCGTGAGCCAACCGTTGCAAATGGTTGAATTTCTACCAGACCAGTAAGCCCCACTCTACAAGACCAAGAAGCGTGAAGCTGAAGCTACACGTTACAAAATGGTTAGACTAGAAAGACCAGAAAAAGTGAGACGTTAGTCCACACGTTTGAAATTGAGAAACTCTGGAACTCTCAACCTCTACACGAGGTGAAGAAGACGACAATGCACTAGACCTTATCATTTCAGTCTGCAGCTGGCATGTATAGTCGTCTAGAGAACTTTCACTAAAGACACGAAGTGGGAAGGACAATCCCTCTCAGACAACCGCTGGTACATCTGTAGTATCCATTCTAACCACCACTGCGACCAGATACTCTACCAAGGACATTGAGATCTCTGGTGGGCAAACCAGAGTCCTACATCATCAACTCAACTATCGAGGACAGCCACACGTAAATACATGTTGCATTTCTAATCCGAATGAGCATTATTAGGGTGCATAAGTATTATGATTACTGTGAGCATAGTCTCCAAAGTAACCACGATAGTTTGAATCTCTGTCTCTCCCTTCCACTCTGAACCTCCCTCTACCCAAGCAGTCATGCTATTGTTAGTCCAGTTCACTAGGGACCTGTTTCATTGTATTACGTTAGTAATCAACCTGTGTGTGTTTGTTTTATTATTTAGTTAGTAAATAAATAATGAAGCCAATTTGTGTATTGCAGATTCATCAATAAGGTTAGGGTTCTTGCAGGTTCAAGGATTATGCGACATTCAGAATGAGACTAAAAAGAGGTAATTATTTAATAAGTGACTGTTATCGATATAACATATATCTTCTAAGAGTTTAATTCGGGAGATGGTAACTCGTTAAACAACTTCTTCCGTGGTGCCCCAAATTCCTAAAGAGTTAATTGTTACATGATTCATTTAATCGAGTGACAATTAAACATAGTTAGGTGATTCGATAAATAACAGTCATACATTAAAGTAAGTCACGTCACCACACTGCATACATGTATGCACCACTATATGATAAGTGCCATTTTATCAAGGCTTTTGGAATATGGTTCCTGAAAAATGGTATGGTGTTTTTTTTGTTTTCCAAATATAAATATAAGACATATATTCTCGTTACCTCGCATTCACAGGTGTCCAGCTCAGTAAACCTGGAACTACCACTCCCGTTGTCGGAGTCAGAATGCATTCGGCATCATGGCTGCAAGGATGAGGATTATTGGACGCACAGACTCAGTTCTTGGTGTGCACCGTGAACCAGTAGTTTTTTAATCTTGTTAATAAAATGAAATCAGATTCTGGGACGTCTCAGTGTGCAATAATTTTGATTAAACTACTACTACACAAGTAGAAGAAAATCTGTGGCACACAGCTCTTCTGTATGTTGTCAGCACTTGATGTTAAAATTGAAACACCTTGAAGAAATGCCAACAAAGCTTTTTCAGCACACAAATAAACCTTTATTCTTGCTTCTGAAAGTAAACCACAATACAAAAAAGTGTCTGCTGAGAACTGAAATGAAAACGTGTCTATGGAATAAAATGTGTCAGAGTAGTTAAATATTCCTGAATATAAATATTTCTGAACAATAGTACAACAGTGTCTTATGAACAGACCTGTAGATAACAAAAGTGTATATGGAATAAAATGAAAGTGTCTGACTCCTGAGATGTCTGAACAACAACAGAACAAGTTATGTCATGCACAAACTCATGCAACTGGTGATCGAATTCCTCCTGGAGTTTTGGCGCGAGTTCATCCATGAAATCAGCTATAGGTGACAGGACCCTGTGGAGAGGATGAGAAGAGGAGGGAAATTAAGAGTGTCTGGAAAGCCGTATGCATGGTGAGGAGAGGAGGAAAAAGGACAACACAAGAGAGGAAAGGGGATCAGAGTAAAGTCTGAAATTATTTGTTATTTACCTCTGTGAGAAGCTGGTGGCTCGGTGCATGACGTTCTCCAGATCTTGAGATACGTCTTCAATAATTTGCAATGCCTTTGCGAGTGATGTGTCAAGGACTGAGTCTGCAGGTCTTTTCTCCCTTCTCACACCCCTGCTACTACTGCTGCTGCTCTGTGGCATCGGTCTTGGAGGTGGGCCCAGGATAGAGCTTCCCAGGTCCTGCATGTTGATCGTTTCTAATTCTGCACTGCAACTATGTGCAGGAGATGGGCTGGGGGCCGATCACCCGTCAGTACTGGCAGCAGAGATAGTGCTTAGGGCCAGTGAACAGGCAGTGCTGGGGCGCAGAGAACAAAACCAGGTGCTGTCTCCATTCACTGGTGTTTGTGCCTTAAAAATATAAGTAAGAGGGCTATTTACTACACATATCCGAAACATTAATGACCATCAAATATTATTAACCAAGACTACAATAGACTATATAATGTGGCAAACGTTTGAGTAGAGTTGAGTAGGCCTGGACTAGCTACTCAACTCTGCTCAAACTTTTGCAACATTTTGACTAGCTGGACCTTGCTAGCAAACTTTGACTTTGGTGTTACCAATGTGGGAATATGATTTTCTTTCTATGACAAAATTATGTTTGATCAAAAGTTCTAAAGATCTTTAGTTTAGTTGGTTGGCTTGCTTTCCCTGCACGAGTATGCTGCTAGGCTAGCTAGCCACTAGCCAGCCAAGTAGCTAGCGCTAGCTATTGTTACCAAAACATGGCTACTCTTTTCGTCGACTACAATAGAAAATACAACAACATACCCCATCCTTTGGTGAAGACGACATGTGGCCTTCAGTATTCCCATGCTTCACGTGCCAAACAAGCCAGCAGCAACATTTCTGGAGTAGCCTTTCCACCGGCATCTCCACTGCGGCCAGTTTATTTTCTTTGCCTTGACGAACTTGTCGCGAACCATACCCCACTTTTTCAAACAAGTGGTTGGGTCGGACCCCAGCGTCTCCGCTATCTCCCTCCATGAAATGGCATTTACATGCTGGTCTTTTTATAATGCATGGCTAGAATCGTACTGGTGAAGGTACTTTCGTACCTCCTCGGTCAATCGATGCTCAAAGTTGTCGTTCGCCATGTTGAATCCACACTGAGTTTCAGGGTTAATTGACAAGAAGCAGAAACTTGCGTCACCCCTACAGTTGACCAATAACGGACGAAGGGGTGTGTGCTCGAACAACCGACAAAACCCTAACCAAACTCCAAAACGAACAAAAACGTCAGAAAATGTCATCAGAAAATACGCACAAACTGTACCGAATTGTTTCGGTTGGGAAGCATGCGTCTGCCTTAAGTATGTAAGAGCTTTCCACACCTGGATTGTGCAATATTTGGACATTATTCATTTCAAAATCCTTTAAGCTCTGTCAAATTGGTTGTTGTTCATGGCTAGACACCCATTTTCAGGTCTTGCCATAGATTTTCAAGTAAATTAAGTAAAAACTGTAACTCTGCCACTCAGGAACATTCACTGTCTTCTTGGTAAGCAATTCCAGTGTAGATTTGGCCTTGTGTTTTATGTTATTGTCCTGCTGAAAGGTAACTTCATCTCCCAGTGTCTGGTGGAAAGCAGCCTGCACCAGATTTTCCTCTAGGATTATGCCTGTGCTTAGCACCATTCCATTTCTATGCTGAAAAACTCTGCAGTACTTAACAATTACAAGCACACCCATAACATGACGCAGCCACCACTATGCTTGAAAATATGGAGAGTGGTAGTCAGTAATGTGTTGTATTGGATTTCCCCCAAAGTTAACATTTTGTATTCAGGACAAAAAAGTGAATTACTTTGCCACATTTTTTGCAGTATTACTTTAGTGCCTTGTTGAAAACAGGATGCATGTTTTGGAATATTTCTCTCTCTACAGGCTTCCTTTTCACTCTGTCAATTAGGTTAGTATTGTGGAGTAACTAAAATGTTGTTGATCCATCCTTAGTTCTCCCATCACAGCCATTAAACTAACTGTTTTAAAGTCACCATTGGCTTCATGGTGAAATCCCTGAGCGGTTTCCTTCCGCTCCGGCAACTGAGTTAGGAAGGACGTCTGTATCTTTGTAGTGACTGGGTGTATTGATACACCATCCAAAGTGTAATTAATAACTTCAAAATGCTCAAAGGGATATTCAATATCTGCTTTTTTTTTACCCATCTACCAATAGGTGCCCTTCTTTGCGAGGCAAACACTTTTTTGTTTACTACATGATTCCATATGTGTTATTTCATAGGTTTGATGTCTTCACTATTATTCTACAACATCAAAAATAGTAAGAAAAACCCTTGAATGAGTAGGTGTGTCCAAACTTTTGACTGGTAGTGTATACACACACACACACACACATACACATACATATATATACACACACACACACACACATATATGTACACATATATATACACATACATACATACATACACACAGTGAAAAAATTATGATTTTGTATGTTTGCCCACTGACAAAGAAATGATCAGTCTATCATTTTAATGGTAGGTTTATTTGAACAATGAAAGACAGAATAACAACAACAAAAATCCAGAAAAAGGCATGTCAAAAATGTTATCAATTGATTTGCATTTTAATTAGGGAAATAAGCATTTGACCCCCTTAATCAGAAAGATTTCTGGCTCCCAGTTGTCTTTTATACAGGTAACGAGCTGAGATTAGGAGCACACTCTTAAAGGGAGTGCTCCTAATCTCAGTTTGTTACCTGTATAAAAGACACCTGTCCACAGAAGCAATCAATCAATCAGATTCCAAACTCTCCACCATGGCCAAGACCAAAGAGCTCTCCAAGGATGTCAGGGACAAGATTGTAGACTTACACAAGGCTGGAATGGGCTACAAGACCATCGCCAAGCAGCTTGGTGAGAAGGTGACAACAGATGGTGCGATTATTCGCAAATGGAAGAAACACAAAATAACTGTCTCCCTCGGCCTGGGGCTCCATGCAAGACCTCACCTCGTGGAGTTGCAATGATCATGCGAACTACACGGGAGGATCTTGTCAATGATCTCAGGGCAGCTGGGACCATAGTCACCAAGAAAACAATTGGTAACACACTACGCCGTGAAGGACTGAAATCCTGCAGCGCACGCAAGGTCCCCCTGCTCAACAAAGCACATATAGAGGGCCGTCTGAAGTTTGCCAATGAACATCTGAATGATTCAGTGGAGAACTGGGTGAAAGTGTTGTGGTCAGATGAGACCAAAATCGAGCTCTTTGGCATCAACTCAACTCGCCGTGTTTGGAGGAGGAGGAATGCTGCCTATGACCCCAAGAACACCATCCCCACCGTCAAACATGGAGGTGGAAACATTATGCTTTGGGGGTGTTTTTCTGCTAAGGGGACAGGACAACTTCACCGCATCAAAGGGACGATGGACGGGGCCATGTACCATCAAATCTTGGGTGAGAACCTCCTTCCCTCAGCCAGGGCATTGAGGATGGGTATTCCAGCATGACAATGACCCAAAACACACGGGCAAGGCAACAAAGGAGTGGCTCAAGAAGAAGCACATTAAGGTACTGTAGTGGCCTAGCCAGTCTCCAGACCTTAATCCCATAGAAAATCTGTGGAGGGAGCTGAAGGTTCGAGTTGCCAAACGTCAGCCTTGAAATCTTAATGAATTGGAAAAGATCTGCAAAGAGGAGTGGAACAAAATCCCTCCTGAGATGTGTGCAAACCTGGTGGCCAACTACAAGAAACGTCAGACCTCTGTGATTGCCAACAAGGGTTTTGCCACCAAGTACCAAGTAATGTTTTGCAGAGGGGTCAAATACTTATTTCCCTCATTAAAATGCTAATCAATTTATAACATTTTTGAAATGCGTTTTTCTGGATTTTTTTGTTGTTATTCTGTCTCTCACTGTTCGAATAAACCTACCATTAAAATTATAGACTGATCATGTCTTTGTCAGTGGGCAAACGTACAAAATCAGCAGGGGATCAAATACTTTTTCCACCTCATTGTGTGTGTGTGTGTATGTATATATAAATAAATAAATTGGCTTGCAGTTAAACACTAAATATACCCTTTTTAACTATACACTTCAGAATTCCAGAGGTAAAACTGAAAAACTGGAGAAAGTCTTTACACATTTCCAGTCAGATGCTTATTTCTTTAAATAGTAGCTGAGCTTTTGGTCAGTCAGGTGAAGATATGCACTGATCGGTCGACTGACCGAAAGCTCAGCTACTATTAAAATACATTTGAACCTGACTGGAAGTGTGCACAGACTTTTTCAGTTTAGCATTTTGGCTCCAGCACCTCCACTTATCGGTTTTGGGTGTGCGGTAGATTCTGCCAATTTTCTACAATTCCAGAGGTAGCAATGCACAAACAGTCTATTATCTGACAATTTATTAGCGCTCGGAAATCCCAGGGACCTCACCATATGATATTACGATACTACGATTTTATTGCGATTTGATATTCCAAACATATTGCTCACTACTTGTCTGCTGCAGAGAGACAAGAAAGAGAAAATGAGTTTTGATCAATCATGGAAATAAAAGTGCTGAAAATGTGGTGGCTGACTATCTAAGGTATAGGATGAAATATACCAGAGATTTGTCGGAGGTACGGCCGACAGCATTTAATTAATTTATCGATACTTGGGAGTCAAAGTACTGATATTATATTTTCCAAAATAATATTAAGATAAATAACCATCTATTTTTTTCCCCATCACTAGAATTTATCAGCAAATTTTACCAGCATTGCTCTGCGTAGACGCGATAACAATTTGACACGCTATATAAGCTCATGACGCAGTTGATGCTCGCGGCCCGTCTTCTCTCATTCACTCCCATGCATTTGATTTCCCAACTCCCCGTGTGATTTGGGCTCCAAAAGGTTCTATAAATGTTGCCAAAAGAGAATGCATATGTGGATTATTTAATGTAGCTTCATATGTACGTTCCTTATTGGTAAGTGTTATTTGCTACATTAAAAAAACCACAGAAAGAATCTACCATCCTGTATTGTCATAATGAAAAGCCTCACCTCCTTGTAGCTGGCGATCTCTGTCTCGTAGTCCCTGTTGTACTTGCGGATCTTCTGCCGCAGGGTGCTGAGTGCTTTGGCATTGTTCTTGTTCATCTTCTTCTTGCCTTCTTTGTCCTCCCAAAGCTGTAGGGAAACACATTGTGCTTAGGCATAGTGGTAGGAGTGTGAGTCTTAATAAATCACTATGTTTTTTTTTTATTTCTATCGAGAACCTGATTGATGTGCATATTTTTCCTTTCCTTTTTCAGTTTGCATAACCTCACATCAGATGTCACTGAGTGACATCGGAGCAGTTTCACAAGCATAAACAGTGTGAACTGAGAATGTTTACCTGATTTAAATAGTCTTCCAGGTCGGACAGAAGACGGATGTAGAAGGGGGGCACCCCTTCCTTGTCCACTATAGTCTTGCTTTTGAGGAACGCTCGACATACCTGCTCAAACTCCTCCAGACACTTGGACATATCTCGGATCTTCATGGCGTTGCGGATCGTCTTGATCAGGTTAGTTAGCTCCTCGAACCTAGGACATAATATTTTTTTAATGATTGTTTATTGAGATAGCCTATATTAAATACAACACCAGCTTGATTTTGTTTAATTTGAGGGACCTAGGAAAATATATTTTTTCCCCCGACGCTCATTTCCTGCAGTTCTACAGAGTTTAACTAGACTCATGACATATTTTAGGTAGGCTATTTAATGATAATACTAATAATGGATGAGGAAAATAAAGTCTAGATCCAATTTCCACAAATGTTATTCCGCTACCAAATATATTTTATTAAGATCATTTACATGAACCTTCAATTTAATTATACATTCTCTTTTACAGAAAGTGATTTGATCAATTGGTAGCAACAGAGTGACACATTGTATAAGATTACTTCCCAAGCAAAGTCAAATTTATTTGACTCCTCGTAGCTCAGCTTCTGAATGTCATAGAGACAAACCAAAAATATCCCCTTGTGCTTCCTCTGGCATTTAACAGCTTGTTTCTAGCCTAAAGCATTGCGGATTTCTGCGTTGTTTTAGATTGGTATAAACAATCGAGAATTGCACCCCAAAAAAAGTATTACGCCCCCCACACGAAATTTTGGCACCCCGAATGTTGGGAATCCCTGGGTTAGATGGCACAGTCCAGGGCAGGCATACCAGCATATACTAGACTGCCTCAGACAGTCAGGAGATGGTAGCCTAGTCCCAGATATGTATATGTTGCACAGCCAACTCCTATGGGTGGTAGCCTGGTCCCAGATCAGTTTATGCCTATGCTGTAATGCCAACTCCTATCATCAGGCATAAAAACTAACATACAGTGAGGGAAAAAAGTATACTCATCCACAACCCATTTTCAATGCCCTGGCTGAGGGAAGGAGGTTCTCACCCAAGATTTGATGGTACATGGCCCCGTCCATCATCCCTTTGATGCGGTGAAGTTGTCCTGTCCCCTTAGCAGAAAAACACCCCCAAAGCATAATGTTTCCACCTCCATGTTTGACGGTGGGGATGGTGTTTTTGGGGTCATAGGCAGCATTCCTCCTCCTCCAAACACGGCGAGTTGAGTTGATGCCAAAGAGCTTCATTTTGGTCTCATCTGACCACAACACTTTCACCCAGTTCTCCTCTGAATCATTCAGATGTTCATTGGCAAATTTCAGATGGGCATGTATGTGCTTTCTTGAGCAAGGGGACCTTGCGGGCGCTGCAGGATTTCAGTCCTTCACGGCTTAGTGTTTTACCAATTGTTTTCTTGGTGACTATGGTCCCAGCTGCCTTGAGATCATTGACAAGATCCTCCCGTGTAGTTCTGGGCTGATTCCTCACCGTTCTCATGATCATTGCAACTCCACAAGGTGAGATCTTGCATGGAGCCCCAGGCCGAGGGAGATTGACAGTTCTTTTGTGTTTCTTCCATTTGCGAATAATCGCACCAACTGTTGTCACCTTCTCACCAAGCTGCTTGGAGATGGTCTTGTAGCCCATTCCAGCCTTGTGTAGGTCTACAATCTTGTCCCTGACATCCTTGGAGAGCTCTTTGGTCTTGGCCATGGTGGAGAGTGGAATCTGATTGATTGATTGCTTCTGTGGACAGGTGTCTTTTATACAGGTAACAAGCTGAGATTAGGAGCACTCCCTTTAAGAGTGTGCTCCTAATCTCAGCTCGTTACCTGTATAAAAGACACCTGGGAGCCAGAAATCTTTCTGATTGAGAGGGGGTCAAATACTTATTTCCCTCATTAAAATGCAAATCAATTTATAACATTTTTGACATGTGTTTTTTAGGATTTTTTTGTTGTTATTCTGTCTCTCACTGTTCAAATAAACCTACCATTAAAATTATAGACTGATCATTTCTTTGTCAGTGGGCAAACGTACAAAATCAGCAGGGGACCAAATACTTTTTTCCCTCACTGTAGGAGTTGGCTATACAGCACAACCAGATCAGGGACAAGGCTAAGGAGATGGTTCTTTAGATAATGAAGTAGAGTAAATGACTGACCTCTTGTCCTTGGCACTACGCACCACTCTCTTGGTGTCTTCCTCATCGTCACGAAGCAGCAATGACCTACAGGGACCAAATGTGGAAAAGTGAGAAAGCTGCCAAAACAGTTAGTGTGACTGAGATTTCGGAAAGAGAAAGTAGTACTGACTGCTTGGTGAAAGTAGTGCCGGGTACTTTAGGGGTGATCTCATCAGACGACAAGGAATCCTCCGACTCGCTATCGGACCCGGTGGCAAAGAAACGTGACATTGCTGAAGGGTGCCGTCAATCTGTGGGAGTGGAATCATGATATCTTATATTGAGGCTCAAACATATTGTGCAAAGGAGCAACATGAAAAAACAACTATTCTATAATCCACTTCAATGACCCAGTGTTTTCCATAAGCGCTTTTTCTACTTCATAAATTAACTAGCCTTCTTTCAATTTAAAAGTTTCAATTCACTAGTCAGAAAAGTCCATACAGCCTTTTCTACCTAGAATGAACTATATAAATCTTCTAGTGATCTATTGCCTGGGAAAAACTGCTGGTTTGTCAGTCTGCCCTGCCTCTCGGTACCTGTGTTATTTCTGTTCGGTGATTGACGATCGAACAGCTTGTGTTGACTAGTTTATTAAAGGTGTTGAACTGACGGAACAAAGTAAATCTATATCCCTTTGTTATTCATAAATCATACAACGTATGGTATCGCGTCGGGACAAGTAAACCAAAGACCTTGTTTGTATTTTCCTAGGATTCGAATGCCCATGTCGAGACTTGCCGGTGACCACTAAAGTGAGTAGAGCTTGGCGATACATTGCCTGAACTGATGCGATAACAATAAATAGAACAATATGTTTATAACATTAATGTGCGCCACAGTTTTTTCAAATGATCCTTTAAACTACTACTACTGGTTTGATGGTTGTAGCCATCAATTGTCCCATTAACAATCACTATATTAGCATACGTATTTCATTTCAAACTACACATCAGCAGTAAAGGCTACTTATCGTAATGAACGATATCAGCAAAATGCCTGAGAAGTGATTGGTATGGTCGGTGTAGATAATTTTTGGTTTATCGTCCCAGCTCTACTCGTCAGTGTAGCCTAGTGCCTTTCGTTCGTAAACAACCCAACTGGTCACTAAACCTTGAGTCCAAATCGAGTCCCAAGTCCCCCGTGCTCAAGTCCTGGTCCCTGTGCTCAAGTTATAGTGCTCAAGTTAAAGTCCTGGTCAAAGCACTCAAGTCCTGGTCAAAGCGCTCAAGTCCTGGTCAAAGCGCTCAAGTCCTGGTCCAAGCGCTCAAGTCCAGGTCCTGGTCCAAGTGCTCAAGTCCAAGTCATGGTCCAAGTGCTCAAGTCCAAGTCCTGGTCCAAGTGCTCAAGTCCAAGTCCTGGTCCAAGTGCTCAAGTCCAAGTCCTGGTCCAAGTGCTCAAGTCTGAGTCACTGGGTCCTTATTAACTCCAATTATTTACCAGGTCAGATATAGTGTAGTGGCAAGAAGGATTTAAATCAATAAATAGTTTTCTATCCATTTTCCGTTCTTTCTGTGCCTCCAAATATTTGCATATATGCTACTGGTAATGTTATCAGTCAAAAAATGTTTTTGAACGTTGCAAATAGAAATTCCATTAATAGAGCCAACATTATTCCTTATTCAAGATGTCAGAGGCATGTTTGTTCTACATAGCACATATTTATATTTGAACGTTCCAAACATTGTGTCCTGCTGAACGCGCCCCAGGTTGTTAGCTTAGCTAGCTAATGAGGTAACATGACTGAACAAGTTCTAGCCTAAACAAATGGTTAACAGGTCCGATCCGCAAGTTGCCTAATTTTAGAACGGCTAAGCGATATGCTGTTTGAATGTAAAATGCGGCCCGCCAATGCGCGATAGAAAGAAAAAAGTGGTTTTCAGTGTCTCCAAAGCGCAGGGAGGCCTTATATGAGAACATCAACTGTGGGGAGAAACCTTTACAGATAACCAAGGTGTGTGCCACACGTTGGCTCACCATTGAACCTGCAGTTTCATGCATTTTGAACCAGTGGGAGGAGCTTAGGCTGCATTTCACAGTCACCAAGTCCAGTGAACACTGCTACATTTTACATTTTAGTCATTTAGCAGACGCTCTTATCCAGAGCGACTTACAGTTAGTGAATACATATTTTTTTTATACTGGCCCCCCATGGGAATCAAACCCACAACCCTGGCGTTGCAAACGCCATGCTCTATCAACTGAGCTACATCCCTGCCGGCCATTCCCTCCCCTACCCTGGGCCAATTGTGCGCCGCCCATGAGTCTCCCGGTCGCGGCCGGCTGCGACAGAGCCTGGATTCGAACCAGGATCTCTAGTGGCACAGTTAGCACTGTGATGCAGTGCCTTAGACCACTGCGCCACTCAGGAGTACATGGCTGAGGTTTTATACTCCATGTACAGTGATCCTCAAAACATATTGTATCTGACTTTTTTTAAGTCAGTGCTGGGTGAGGTACAGTTGGCCATCAAGGCTTTTGAGGGAGAGCAAGTAGATCCTCTTAAGCTACTTGACAGCTTGATTAGCCTGATAAAGTCTGAGCAGCAGGGTGCTGAATCCACTGGCAAATGTTGATGTACTCAAAGGGCCAATAGTTGGATACATCAGTCCCAAACCGTACCTTGGTTCCTTTTTGAGTCAAAGGCAGCTGAGCTCCACCTTGCGCCTGAGGATGAAAACAATGTCCGAAAGCGGTGTGTAGCCTTCACCATCTCCCTCACTAATGAGTTGAGGGTGAGACTGACGGACAACATCGAAGCATTGCAGTACATGTCAGTTTTCAATGTGGAGGAAACTCTAAAGCACAATAAGAGCCCTGGAGACATAGAAAAAATAGCCAGGTGGGGAAGCGAAAGCTACTGCGTGCGTCATAGTGAAAGGGGGAGATATGTTGTGTGGGGAACTGGCTTTTTTCACCCGATTTGTCCAACTTATCACCTCTAAAATGTAAATAAAACACTATAAAGAGTTTATATAATGTCTCACTACATACCTATTTGAATAGGGTTTTTAGGACAGCGCAAAATGTATATTTTTATTTTATTTCACCTTTATTTAACCAGGTAAGCCAGTTGAGAACAAGTTCTCATTTACAACTGCGACCTGGCCAAGATAAAGCAAAGCAGTGCGATAAAAACAACAACACAGAGTTACATATGGGGTAAAAAAAAACATAAAGTCAAAAAAATACAACAGAAAATATATATACAGTGTGTGCAAATGTAGCAAGTTATGGAGGTAAGGCAATAAATAGGCTATAGTGCAAAATAATTACAATTAGTATTAACACTGGAATGCTAGATGTGCAAGAGATGATGTGCAAATAGAGATACTGGGGTGCAAAAGAGCAAAATAAATAACAATATAGGGATGAGGTATTTGGGTGGGCTAATTTCAGATGGGCTGTGCAGTGATCGGTAAGGTGCTCTGACAACTGATGCTTAAAGTTAGTGAGGGAGATAAGAGTCTTCACAATTAAACTGTGTGTGTCACGGTTTTTGAGAGTCATGATGGCTAGAAGTGATTACGCGAAAAATTAACAATTGATTGAATTAACTATTTATTGATGAACGAGTAATTAACTTTACACTCACCATTGATCATTTCTTGTTTTTAATCTGCGTGAGAAGCGCTACACCTGGTGGACAGAGGCTGTACGGCACAGAATGAGTTGAATAATGCGTGCCATACGTTACGTCATGACATTACAAACTTTAACGTACAGCGTCAGGTGTCCGATAAGCATGATTATTTCTCCAATACTATTGGTCCATTACCATGTCAATCAACGCTGAATCCAAACTTAGTTCCCACCCCGGATTTTGATGCCAACACAGTCCCATTACTTTTCATTGCCAACACAGTCCCATTACTTTTCATTGCAGCCTCGTTTGAATGCCGCGGTTGCCCACATGTATGTACGGAACCGAGTTAGCTACCGTTAATTGTCGGAGTAGAGGACCTTGTGCATTTCAGGTAAAATAACAACCCAATGTATATATCCCAGGACAGATTAGCTAGCAACAGCAAGCTAGCTAGCTAAATTGCCATACATGTTTAATTATTTTCGACCTGTCCCCAAATTAATATAATTGGTTCAGAGTTTATTTTGATATTTCAACCTGCGTGTCCTGATCGCGTCTGGTGTGGGGGGGACAAAATCAACTTGCGCGCTATGGCGGCCGCACGCGCGGTCTGGGTAACATGTAACTTAAACATACCAGTTCAACCAGCAAAGATATCCCCTTCAAATCATCATTGGATGCGTTCGTAAATTTTATCTGGCTATCAACTCCGATTTCAGAGCACTCTCGTCTGAGTGTGCCAGATCGCAGAATAACTGACGAATTTACGAACGCTCAACACCCGTTGAATATGGCCGGTGTCAGTAAACGTCGGCAAAAAAGCGTAATTAAATTGTCGCCAGCAGCAGTTAGTCACCAACGCTCTGAATTTACTAACGCCCAGAGGGCACTGAGCGCACTCTGGCACTCCAGGTTGAATTTACAAACACAGCCCTAGTTAGCTAGCAATGTAGCTAACACTAGCCCAGTTAGTTACTGTTATTGCTAACGTTAGTTTACTAGCTACCTAGTTAGCTAACTATGTCTGATTGATGAACAAGTCGTATAACCAAAGATAGTGAATATCCTTCCTGGCTATCTAATCACTAGCAAAATAGTGAATACACCAATCTTGTGGTCAGAGTAGTTACGTTAGCTAGTTAACTGACAAACGCTTGTATAACGACTGACAAGTTAGCATGCTAACACTAACGTTTACTACACAGGTAAACAGAAAAGCATATGGTAGGTTACAATCATCCATTCTTGATGGGGTAAGGTAACTAGCTAGCCAATTAACTAATTCACATAAACTAGCTAGCAAGGAAAATAACTATTTGTTTGCCGTATTTCTCGCACTGTGAAATGGCTAGTTAGACAAGATAAATAACGGCGAACGCTTCCTTTTCACGGCAAAAACGGCGACAAGTTAGCTAGTGCTGCGGACATGCCTAGCCAAAACATTCCCAGCAAATGTAAACACCATTTAAGACAGATCCAACAAATCATTGCGAGGGACTCACCTATGTTCTTTTGAAAATCGTCCTGTGGTGTAATCCAGTTTTGCGATTTTACGGGAAAACTGACAGCGTGCAAAGCCTCTCGGACACTTGCGTCAAGAAAGGAAATTATGGAAGAATTCACAAAACAGCCTCTGTGGGGTTTA